ATATTCTATTATTTACAGAGCAATTGTCAGAAAGTTGTAAGTGAACGAAGTCCAATGGGTTTTACTGAAATTTTTGTTTTAACTTCATTAAATTTTCACTGTTCTTGTGATTTGTGCTCGGTCTTGTTATATTTTTCTGTTTCTGTTCATTTATTCTGGAACATGTACTGTCACTGATTAATAATTACACTTTAAGTAATGTAATCATTTTCGCTTTGCTCGTATTACTAGTTTTTTTAGGAGAGAAAGAATCGCCAATGCAGTTCACTATCATCAAATGGCTGCTATTTCTGCTTCATCAACTGTTTCTGAATTTTCTCTTTCATTTTCTTATTTGTCTTCTATTATTGACCTATTACTGGCCTTGGTTAACCGAATGAATAATGTTTAATAGTAGTTCTTTTAAACATGACTTGGTATGACCGATTGTATATGATGCTGAGTCATTATTGGAAGAGGAAACTGATTTCTTCGCTTTTGTTTATCATCTCTTCTCTGCTCAGTTTTCGAACATAGAACATTTCCGATGGGAAGTAGCTTCAAGATTCATTATTATCAATGGAATATTAGTTCTCACTTATCGTTTTCAATGAGTCAGATGATATATTCAGAATCTTTGACATAATTAATCAAAGCTTGCGAAAGTGGTTTATTAGCAATATTTTTGGATTGTTGTTTTCGTTAACGGGAAAGGTTTAGAGACGGGGAGTTGGGAAAAAAAGAGGGAAACATTCTTTTACTTTAATTATTAATTTATTTGCTTTTTTACTTATTTTTGTGTTTATGAGATTGTACGGTCAGCTGGACAGGCGTTTCACAACGATTCACTATTACTTAACTATAAGTTGGACAAACTTTTAATTACTTTTATAACATTGTTTTCATTACATTTTTCCCTCCCGTGACCTGTTTCGAAGTGCAATTTTATTTATCGCTAAATCACTTCTAAACTGTTTTACTTTAATCGTGGCTACTGTTCTGTTTGTACTCCTGCGCTCCCATTATTTTTGTTTGTTGCTAGTGTTATTTCTTTCCATCTTCTAGGAATATTAATGTGACTGCCGAACTTCAATTTAAAATTTGAATCTATCGTGTAGCATTTCGAAAACGTTGTTTGTTGTTAATCGGCGGGGCGCAACGATTATATGCAATAGTCAGCCGTGTAGATGCACAAACAGGCGACCGGGAAACAGGTAATCGATTATTCTTTATTACTGCCCGTGGAAATTCGTTTTCGATATTTGGATGGTTTTGTAATATTTCTTTCATTCTTATTAAGTGCGTCAGCTGCGCTTTGGTTCAGAGACACAGAAACATTCATATTCACTATTGTGTCGAAAATAAGAATTGTAAGATTTTCATTTTGTGTCGTTGAATATGACGAAGTTTTTAATCATTCATTTCTAAGTGTACAGTAAAGCTTTTACTGTATCTTAGAAAATCATTTTGGCTTAATGTTTTTTTTTAAATCAGTATTAAGTAAGTTGTATAAATAGCGTATTACATTATGTGCCATTCATGTTACCACTTTCTTCAATATGTTATTTTGAGAATTATTAAGTATAAGAATTTCTTTTCAAATCAAAATATACTCTAGAAAAGTGTTTTGAGAGTTAATTTGGTAACAAATGGTGGATAGATAGATATATTATCTTCTGCAAAAGGATGTAGTCTCCCGTTTAAAGCTTCAAATAGTAGCAACTCATACGGTACTTCAGGTATTTAAGTGATTACCCTTTCCAATGATTCATCTACTGCGTTAGCATGCAAATTGCTATATGAATTACTGTCATTTAAATTAGTTTATTGTTACTTCAAATGAATTGTCGCTAAATGAATTTGTGGATTATTTTTAATTCATTGTTAACATCACTTGATGTGGTTCGGATCAGCTCGCAGTATTATCAAAAACTGAACTTCATCAATTTTTGTGAATAATTTGGACGGTTTTTAAAACTCAGCAATTTTTTGGAGAATTTTACAAAAATTAACTCCATTAATTTATAGTTTATTACTCTCTTCAAAATAGAGGTCATGCCAACAATTAATACTAACAATCTCGTGTGACGGTCGGTTATATCTTCCAGTGGAAGACAAGCATTTTTGTATTTTTTGTGAAATTTTTGTGACGGTTTTCATGGTTTTTCTTATCATTCATTTCACTGTCTTGGTTATTTTAAAATAGATGCGTTAATGCAGGCCTGTAATTCTTTTCATCTATTTCTACTGCAGTGAATTTTATTTGCTGAAAATCCTTTCTGGATTGAATATTTGTTTTAAATTTTACTTATTTTCAGGATGATTGATACCAGTATATTGCCCTTTGCCGAATTAAGGTTTTGGTCATCGTTAGCGTACACCTTGTCGTTATATATATTCTTTGCATTCCTCATTTATTTAATTTATCAATGCCATACTTCACACTACTTGTATCAGTTTCGTTCGACATTTAGGAGAGATTTTTGGTGAGTTGCATTTTTGGTGAACTTCGAACTATAAAAAATAGTATTTTTTTAAAATTAGCTAGACATTAGCAAAAGATTGATTTTTGAATAATTAGATAATTGCAAATGATACAAAAAAGTACAAACAGACTACACGTAAATTAATGGGAGCACTCATTCCAGTAATTTATTTTCTTCTTCGTTAAGCGTTACTGTTAAAAAGTGACCTTGTTAATGGCGGAGTTTTTCTTTATCTGCAGTTATATGTTCTTTGCCTTTAAGTGGAATTCTTGTGTCCAGAAATTATATCATTTTGTTTCTTATTTGCCGGAAAACACATTATCAGCGAAAAAAAATTTGTTCACTTAGAGCGTTATTTAATTCACTTTTTGGCTTGGATTACTATGCTGAATTTTTTTTGGTTGTAATGTGTCCTTTTTTATCATTTGTTAGTATGGACTCTGAACTGAGTTCAAAATGCATTTTTTCTTTTATTTGCAGTGGTTTGATTTTATTGATCCGATTAAGATGGAATATCTGGAAGCATATGAAAGCTAATCAACCGGTGCATCAAATATTCTTGCGAAATGTTGAAAATTATGGAGATAAGGAAGCGCTGGTTGAAGTGGACACAGGCAGAAGGTTTACGTTCCATGAAATGAATCAACTGTGCAATCAGTATGCGAACTACTTCCAGGTTCTTCACCAGTTACATATTTCTTCCAAAATTTTGTTTAATATAGGTATATGTTGTTTATGTTAAGTCAGTATATACTTTGATTCTGAAGTCTTTTAACGACGATTTATATTACGGTGCAGAGTAGAAATCAAGGATCTGTCAAAATATAATAAATTGAAATATTTTGCAGTCAGAAGGCTACAAAAATGGTGATGTAATAGCATTGTTTCTTGAAAATTGTGCTGATTTTCCTGCCATTTGGCTTGGACTAAGTAAAATTGGTGTTGTCACTTCGTGGGTGAATATAAATTTGAGGGCAGAACCACTCGCTCATTCAATTGATATTTCTAAATCAAGTTCCGTTATCACTAGCAGTGCACTTTTTCCAGGTTAGTTTTCATCGAAGAAATGTTTTTATAAAAATAATTAGGAATATAATAGGATTTTTGATCTTGGCCAAGGAATCTTGATGCAGAATTACACGTGTAGGAAGTACCATTCCAGCAGTGGAATACTGGATTGCAGAATCCAAGCGGGATTGAGCAGCAAATATACCTCAAAAGGAAGCCAAGAACAAATGTCAAGTGAAGTTTATAAAAGAATCCATTTGCTCATGAAGTTTGTGAAAGAATTCATCTCGAGAAGTTTCTTGCTATCATTAGTTTGAAAAAAGCAAAAGTATTTGCATAAGTCATGAATGACGGACACTTGATTTGTGTTCAACAATGGTCTTTGTTATAAATAACTGGTTTATTCTGATCTGTGTAATCTCCCATCGTTATTAAACTGCTTTTAGATGGGTCCATAGTCATACATTCTGCTGTAAAGATCCGATCATTGAAAGGAAAATTTTAAAAATAAAACGAAGGAATATGTCCTTAAGAATCTTCACCTTTTTCAGCACTGAAGGATTTATTCTTATCGGGAAAATTGAAACAGATCAAAGTTTATATCACAGATGATATTGGTAATATTAAAAATAGCATCTTATCATTGGCAACAAAAATTCCTTTAATTTCTACCGAAGAACCAGTCGTTCATGAAAAACCAACGTTCAGATGTATTAATTTCTGTTCTATATCGTCCTAATTTGTTTTCTTCTTCCAACTCATAATGTTATTACTTTAGTCTAACAATCGAGGGTTGCTAGCCATAAAAAGGATAAATAAGTGTCCCTTTCTGATTGATTATTTCTAATATCATTGTATAACTTTGGACACCATGAACCATATTTTTTATAGGAACTTGAAATTTAATTAAGAATTCAGGAAAATATTTGGTTTACAAATGGCCTATTAGTTTTGTTCCATCGTAATTTTTCCCTTTCATATTCAGATGTATTTACACTGACCTTCGAAATCTGCCCTGAATATATTACTTCATTTTCGTTTGACACTATTGCTATTTTCACTCATATTTTAAATTTTTCAGCATTGCTTTGTTATATTTTCACATCAGGAACGACAGGGAATCCTAAGCCAGCACTTATAAAACATTACCGGTATGTGGGAGTGAATTCTGTATCAACGCTAATATGTTTAACCTAATTTTAGAACTTGAAAATTAAGTTGTTAGAACAGAAAAAATTTTTCCATACAGTCATTTTTCCTGGCATTATAAGTTTCATTTGGAATTATATGTTATTAAGATGCTTCTAATAAAGCAACAATTTGATATATATGAAATTACGGAGTAATGTAAGCTCACTGTTCACATTATTATGCAAAACAAATCATTTAAAATAGTGTAATATAAATGTATAATGTATAAGTTCATCAATGTGACATAAATATATTGTACTTATTTCGAATATTTTAAATATGCCTTTATTTCGTTCTAAATTTAGATACTATTGGATGGCGATAGGTGTGGCCAGGTCCTTCGGAATCTTTACAGCAGACCGTTTGTATGTGATGATGCCAGTTTATCATAGCGCTGGAGGAATCCTTGGTATCGGACAGACCGTGCTACAAGGTAGCACGTGTGTCATTAGGAAGAAATTCTCTGCGAGTAATTTTTGGAAAGACTGCGTCAAATATAATTGTAATGTCAGTCAGTATATCGGTGAAATTTGCAGGTGGAGTTTCTCATGATGGTTTCTTATTTCCAAAGATAATTTTTTTTTAAAAGAACTTAAAACACTTTTTTTATGCGAGGAAAAAAGGTACAGCGAGCAGAGACGCTGGTTGCTGATAAGCATATTATGTAGAATTTTTTTGAGGTTTGGAATGAATACTTTTGCTTCCAGGTATCTTCTAGCTCAAAAGGAGACTGTGGAAGCAAAGGAACACAAAATACGTCTCATGTTCGGTAATGGTTTACGAGCAGAAATTTGGCCCGAATTCGTCAATCGTTTTCACATCCAGAAAATCGGTGAATTTTACGGTAGTACAGAAGGCAACTCAAGCATTGGTATGTTCTCGTCATTTATTAATTTTTGAGAATTCTGCAAAGGAACTCATTTTTTTTAAAGAAATTTGCTACAATTAAAGTATTCTTTCAGTTAACTAGTCGCTTTGAGGAGTTGAAATTTATGTTAGAGTTTTCTCACTGTTTCGCATTAAAGAAAGATGGCTAATTTTAGGTGATATCACTTTGAATAATTTGAGATTTTTTGATCCAGATCACTTTTAGTGAATATAGATAATCGTGTCGGCTCATGTGGTTTTATTCCGGTGCACCCTCTTGTAAAATATTTGTATCCTGTGCGTTTACTCAAAGTTGACGATGATACCGGTGAATTAATTCGTACAAAAGATGGGTTTTGTGTGGCATGTAAACCTGGCGAAACTGGTGAAATGGTTGGTGTTATTATGGAAAGTGAACCTTTACTGAGGTAATTTTTGCTACCTTAACTTTTTTTGGAAACCATAATTTTATTGATTATTTCTTGAATAGGAACTTCAATAATTTTTTAATGAAGATAGGTTAGTGTGAGACTTCTGATACTTTAACACACTTCAATGAGCTTTGATTAAGTTATAGAGGATTTTTGCAGTTTCGAAGGGTATTTAGACAAGAACGATACTGGGAAGAAGATATTAAGAAATGTTCTACGTAAAGGTGATGCTGTTTTTACATCAGGCGATATTATATATTGGGATGATTTAGGATATTTATATTTCAAGGATCGAAAAGGCGACACTTACAGGTTCTTTCTTTTGCAGGATTTCGTGTCATTTCCTCGTTTGTTTCATGGAAAAATGGTCTCCTTAATCTTTTATTGTTACAGTTTTCCACTCATTAATTTTATTGAAAATACATTAGGATACTAAATTTTTGATATCACATTTTGAAATTATTCATGAAAGTACACAGAAATATGTTGTAGATGGAAAGGCGANGTCTCCTTAATCTTTTATTGTTACAGTTTTCCACTCATTAATTTTATTGAAAATACATTAGGATACTAAATTTTTGATATCACATTTTGAAATTATTCATGAAAGTACACAGAAATATGTTGTAGATGGAAAGGCGAAAACGTCAGCACTACAGAAGTGGAGGGCATTTTACAGCTTTTGAAATGTGTAACTGATGTTGCTGTTTATGGTGTCGAAATACCGAGTAAGTCCTGATATCTTTCACGTATATTTTGCGGAATTGTCATTTTTCAATATTTATTCTTTAAGTTTTCAAAGAATTTTCCAGACAGAGAAGGTCGTGCTGGCATGGCTGCTATCGTCGTGGCAGGGGACGAATTTTTAAAAGTTAGCCTTTAGTCATATTTTTTCCACTAATCAAGTTTCTAATTTTGATGATATAAATGACAGTTGCGTGAGTTAGCAGCTTATTTTTAGGATGTGATATTCAAAATAACGGAGCATCTCAAGAAAAGTCTTCCATCCTATGCTATTCCTGTTTTCTTACGTTTTTGCAAGGATTTCGAACGAACAGGTTCCAATTACACTTAATTTTGTATCTAATACTTCAGTAATCTTGCAAGATGGTTAAATTGTTGTGTAAGTGAACAATTCAATTGGGTAACACTTTCAAAATCTTTAAACCTTTTTTGCTGATTCATACATGTTACAGGTACTTATAAGCTGAAAAAAATGAGTCTACGAAAGGAGGGATATGATTTTTCACGCTTTAATGATACAATATTTATTTGGGATTGCTCCATTAAGTCTTATAGGCAAGCCTTTTTTCTTATATTGATCTCAAAAGCAGGTTTTCAAATCATGAGAGCGAATGTCAACCGAGTGGGTAAATATCTTAAAAGCAATAAATTTTGATTGTTTTCTAAAACATCATCAATTTTTTTCCGCTTACCAGAGATGTCAGATGTTAAATACTATCTTCAGTCAAGTATAAAGAAATGAAGGTTGAATAATATTGACAGTTCCCTATAATGTCTTAAATTATGTCCCGAAGTGATTTGGATGTTCTGAATTATTCCAATATTTTTGCAGGATATTCGATGAAAGCTTACAGCACCAGTTGAACGATGGTACTTACGTGGGCATTTGATTCATGAATGATGTTTTAATTGACATTTGTATAGTTTATTTCATCTTCAAAATTTTGAAGCGTTCTAATTTAATTTAATGGCAGAAGATCGTGTTTATTTTTATTATGTTGATTTCTTCCTAATTTAATTATTTGTCGTGCGAAATGGTCCTTATTGCTTTCTCCATTTATCGTTCTCTTCTACGCATATAAATTTCACAACTTAATTCGATTTTATAGTAGCATTTTAAATGATCTTAATCTTTAAAGTATAAAGATATCAAAATATGAAACTCGAAATTTAGTTTGATTTTCTGAAGTTTCACTGTTCCAGCGAATCAGTATGATGATTAGTCGTCGATTCTTAAATATCAAGGTTCAACGCTAAGTTTTCACTAGATTTTTAAAGGAAGCAACTGCTTTGTCATAAGGTTGTGGAAACAATTTGGCTGTGCGCATAGTCGTATTTTATAGGTTTATTTTTGATATATGCATTATTACTTTCTAAATGACTGCCAAATGTATTCGAGATTATCAGCATTCGATTTGAACGTGGTAATAAGTAAACTCATCCTCTAATCAATTTTGATTTTACCATCTTTTTAACATTTTTAAATCTGCTGTGATATTAAACCGATATTTGCACAGTTTCCTTAGTTGGATATTTCCCTCATCACATTGCTCTTTTTGCTTTGTTTTATTTATCAGATGCATCCTAATTCTTATCCTTTTTATTGTATGTTGCCGTACTGTCTAGGTTTTTCAACTTCTAACTGCTCTTATAATTTCTCAACTTAACTAACGTTTCCACTTATAAGCATGAACCTATTAAAAAAGTTCATCCATTAAAAATTCCTTTTTTTCCTCCTAATTTCAGCGGACTTTTTTTTCATTGTGAAAATGTTTATAGATTCATAACTTATTCGTGAAATTGTGTGATCGATGACTGTGATGTAGCGACATTTTTTTTGAGCCATTTAATTTGCGATACGAAAATTTTTCTTGAGAAATATTAGGTGAAACGATAATTAAATCATTTTCTTTTCCCCTATAATTTTTCGTTGTTAACTGCTCTTGTTTTTTATAGTTTTCTGATTTCCTATAAGCCGAAAGTGTATTCTTCTTAATTACTGCTTTTAACTTCGTAAGTTTAACCACTGTGGCAGAAATAGGCTATGATAAGATTATTTCGTATTATATTGTTCTTTCGCTCTTTATAGCGCTTTTGTTAATATTAGATATTAACAGTTAAGGATGTTTGTGGAATGAAAGTATTGAGAAGTTTTATCTTCAACTTAAGTCTCCAAGATCCTGACAAATATTGATGAGGTGAATGTAGTAAGTGTCTAAAGTGTCTAGCTGTCAAATATGTTTACATAATGCATTTGCATAAACCATGAAAGATTTAATTTAAATTAAATTTTCCATTTACTTCAAGCTATCGAAAATCTTGATTATGAATCTACTCGCAAGTTTAGAAAGCAATGCAAATTAAATAAGATAGTTAGAATTTCTAATCACTTGATTGGTCATTATTTGAATACTTAGAATTAGATAACATCGAGCTGAAATTTGATTGTAACTTTTCTTAACAACTGCTCAATAAACAACAGATCGCTGAAACAAATTCTATTATATCCCTTTTTCTTGCTTCCTCCAACCTTCACATCTAATTCTTTTTCATTATGGTGGAAGCTTTTAAAGGGTATAGACGTTAAATGTATAATTTGATCAAAAAAAGACCTCTTCATTTTGCGTGATAAGTTTACAAAAATAAATTAAAAAAATTATCACTGCGAGTCTAAATTTAACCATTTCAATAATTGATTCCAAAGAATTAGATGTGACCATATTTTTTCTTAACACTCTTTCTAAACTATTCATCGTTTTAGTAACTGTTTTTAAAATTTACTGCCTACAAATAAAAAGTGGCAAATGATGCTTACTCATAAGTAAGCGATATTTCCAATTATTAAAATTAAAAATAAAACATGAAAAAAGAAGGAATTAAACAAATATTCATCATCTGACCAGTTTTGTAAAATGTCTAATGTATAGAAGAAATATTTGAAAGAGAAAAGCATTCAATTAATAAACTATTTGGGAAAAAACATTTTGTGTACAATCATTGAAAATGGAGTGAGACTGGCAAAAACTTCACTTTAGAAACATTTTTTTTGATTTCATTTGGAATTAAGTTGGTTAATTTACTGGCAGAACGTTTTAGCGAATTAGTCATATCAGTCAAATTAAATTAGTCATAGATATTTATCTCATTTCACTCCTCAGAAATTTATATTATAATGTCACGCCATTTTCGATGATTGTACATACACAAAATCAAGCAGTCTCAACGGAAAAGAAACATCGTATCTACGAACTCTCTCAAAATTACAAAATAAAAAGATAACTGATAAAAATAAGATAAGGATAACAAGATAAAAAATAAAAAGATAACTGATAAAAAATAAAAAGATAGCTGATAAAAAAATAAAAATAAAAAGATAAAAAATAAAAACTGATAAAAACAAGATAAGGATAACAAAGATAAAAAAAATCATTTTAGTAATTAATTAATTAAAATGAGTTTTTAGATAAAAAAAAATAAAAAGATAGCTGATAAAAATAAGATAAGGATAACAAGATAAAGGAATCCTAAATCTAAGTTTAAAATTTATGAATTTGCTGAAAGGCTACTGAAAATAGTAAATATTAATTTGCTTCAAAACTTTCATTTAAAATTAAATTTTGAAGTTTCCAAGCTAATTCAACTTCAATAAACTGTAAACTTCAATTCGAAAAAAAGTCCAAAATTTTTATCAAAGTAATTTCATCATTTATCATTCATTTATACATTTTGAATTCTTATTGAATAAGTATTTATGTGATTCATCTAAAGAACAAAACACTGAAGAGTCATTTTAATTAATTATTTATTAAAATAATTTTGATAGTTGCAGCAACAAAAGCTTACAGTAACATTTTTTTGAAACAAAATAAACATTTTGGTGAAGCCTTTAAATTTCAATTTTCAAATTATTTAAATTTTTCAATCAAATTTCTTTTTGTATATTTTTCATTCATTGCATTTTCAATGAAAGCATTTCACATTTTTATTATTAAATGTTTCTTCCATGTTTGTTTACATTAGAAATAACTATAAAAAAATCAGTAAAATACTAAAAACTATAAAATTGTACAAATAATTACGGTAAGGTTTCATTTATCTATCACAACGATAATTTTATCATTGCATAATTATCATCCGTTAATAAATTTCTTCCTATCAATGAATTATGAAAAATTGAAAAGGATGAATATTTACTATATGATATATAATCTATGAATATTGACCTATGCCCTATGAGTATTTTTGCAATTTTGCTTATATAATCGATGTAAATAAATACGGTTATTTTGAATTAGATTTCACAACAAAATTTTCTTCATTGTATTCATTTCTTATAAAATTTCAAGTAATTCTTGAATTGAATTTTATCGCAAAGCAATTTATTTGGTTAAGCTATAATGAAATTATATCAGTAATAATTAAGAAACCTTCAATAATTTGAATTGAATTAAAATACTATGAAAGATTAATTTCTTTGAAACATTAAGCTATGGAAGGAATGTCATTTAATTTGAAGTTGTTTAAAACAATTGATTGAAATTGTTTGAAAAATTCTATAAAACAAGCTTTACATTTAATTTTACTACTTAATGTAAGTGTTAAGGTAATGTCATGTAGATAGAAGAAATAAATAACTGCAACATCAATTTGAATATTATTACCCAAATTGCTAATTTATTAATCCAAATAAGTTCAGAAATGAAATTAGACAACATAACATATCTGTCTGTAATAAATTAATAAAGTGAGAAAAAATTCGAATAATTTAAGTTATTAAAAAATAATTCTTTCGTTTTAAAACTATTATTTCATTGGTTCTAAAACAAAGAAAAGAAATTACATTCCAATAATACAAATTTCCCTCTAAATTAATTTACCTTTATTACAGTAACATTTCGATAAATATTTTAAACAAACAAACAAACAAGCATATATTCACATCCATCTGAAAAGTAATACTTTCTTCATTAAGAAATTTTTTGTGAAGTTCTTACCTTAGTAACTTTTAGTTTCATAAATTTGGAAATTTTTAAGTTAAATATTTCAGAAGTAAATTTGAGCAAATTCTTTCTGAGTTATTCAAATGTTTGAAGAAAATTGCACAATTACATGTAAGATAGCGACGAAAGAACCGTTGAATTTTGCTTTTTTTTCAATTTATTTAATATTTTAGTGACAGTTTACTTTTGTTATTGCAAGCCATTTTCGATGATTTTGTATTAATACATTCATTCTTTTAACTCTTCTTATTATTTTTGAAGAAAGGATAAAGGTTAAGTTATTTCCCATCTTTTAGTTGATAAATCACCTTAATTTAGAATCATTAGTTTCGGATACCTGATTCGTTCCAGTACCTTTGATAAATGCAAAACAAAGGGTGGAATTCCGTATCGTTGGCCTAATGATGCCAGTTTTAGATGAATAACAGAGAAACAAAAAGAAATAAACTTCTGATTTCTGCTTTCTCAGGAAGTAGTTTCTAAAAACAAAAAGCGCAAAGACAAAGATATAAACCTTCATTGCATGCACTAATTAATTACTACTTTTAGTGTGATAATAAGCAATGATTCATTTTTTGAAAAATTCAGTTCAAATAGGACAAAATTGAATAGGACAAAATTTATGGACAAAATTGTCACATAAATAGGACAAAATTTGAGAAAAATTTTTTTCCAATTTGCTATCCAATGTATTAACAAAATATTTAACTAAACGAATCAAAAGTATAATTATTGATAAACAAACAAATAATTGTTTGTTAATAATACTTTCTAATTAGATCTCTTAATTTAATCCAAATGTTCTCTTCGATACTTTTTTTATAAATTAATATCAAAGCAAACATTTGGATTGATTTAAGCTCATTTTACCGTTGTCCGACAAATTCTACGGAAGATTGCCGTAATTACCGTAAAAAACAATGTTGAAAATCGAACAATAACACCATAGAGATGATAGAATGGGCTTAAGATTAGCAATTTCGGTACTCTTTCGTTGAGTAATCTATTTTGTGGAAATGATAAAATTTGTCTTACTGTAACTTAAGCGGAAAGCATTAACAGTAATAATTAACTTCATCAACAAAATTAATTAAATCACCATTGTGTAGATGGCTTGATAATTTCAATTCTGCTAATAGAAATTAATTTAAGGATAAATTTTTGTTTCATATTAATTTATAAAAACAAATATGTGATTATATTTTGATCACAAACTATATTGATCCAATAGCTATTTGTAGAATATTATATAAGCAAGATTGATACCCTCTTCTTTCTATATGTTTTCATATCATATCTGTCATTAACAGTAATAAATTCAAGCAAAAAAAATGTAAATTTGAGATGAGAACATTGCGGATAACTTAGTCTTATCATAAATAGAAGTAAAAGCTATACTTTCTTATGTAAACTAATAAATTACTCACAAATGTTTGAATATATCTTAACAATGAGAACCAAAACGAAAATAATATATTTTTCAATGCTATATTTTATGGTTTATCATATATACTTTAAATATCAATAAATATAAGAATAATTTGGAATGGATTAAATGTCCGGCATTTGTAGTGACTTCATGTCTAAGAATCTTTGCAATCAATTCTTAATCTCTGTATCTTTCAATTTTTCCGTAACTCAATGTTATCCTTTATTTTACATACCTTTACAAATGTTCAAATTTCCTTTTTGAAATAGCAATTTACATTAATTGATTACCGCAGGAGTACTCTAATGAGAAATAGGATAGTTCAGGAAGTACAATAATACCGTATTCATTCATCATAGCATGCAGAAATTACTGTTTTTACATTGTAATATTTGTATTTTCAATTTTTTGAAGTGAAATCCTTCCAAAATCTTTCTAATTTGTTTGATGGTGAAAGATAAATTTCTTAATTGATTTCAAACTTCACATCTTCTCTTTTAAGAAACATAAAATTCATTCTTTTCCAAAAAGCATAACTTTTAGAGGACAATTTGTTTTTTCCCAAAGTTACGAAATACATGAAAGTATTAAATTAATATGGATGGGAGCAATGAGATGGCAGTAATCCTCGGGAATGTCATTTGCAGCAATCAATAAATGAATATTATATTATTAACAATTGTTATCTTTTTCCTAAATATTTTAGCTTTAATCTCAGAGCAATGAGAATGCTATAGTAAAAGTTATAGTTTCCTTTCAATATATTTTAATAAATTCTACTAGGCTTCTTTGCAAAATAAAACACAATACAACTTGAATACAATGTATTCATCCTATCACATCAATGCTGAAATTATTGTTTCGATCTGAAGAAGTTATGTAAAGTTTCTATGAAAACTTATATAATGTGTGAAGTTTCTTTTAAATGACACTATCATACATCGAAATGATATTTTTCTCTTTCTTTTTCAGTAATCGATCATTTCGGTTCTATTTAGTCAATTGAACTATATAATGATAAGATGATGATAAATCAAAGAATCTTTAAGCATCTCATATCAGCATACATAGAAGTTTATGTCTTCGATATTATTAACTTTCTAAGGGCATCTATTGAATTAATCAATTTAAATTTAATTAAAACGAAACAACAAAAAGCTAAACAAATTAATTTACGACGTTCATAGATATTATTTTTTGCTATCAATAAGAATCATAGAAGATACGACAAAAAACGAGAAAAGGGATTAGAAATGAGCGAAATGAATGATAAAAAGTAGCAACTGATTATATTATAATCTTTTCGGTTAACATTGCTATTTCCATCTAATCATACAATGGTTAGTTAATTTAAATCAAAAATTAGAACGATTAATCAATTGAGAATACGTAAATTGTTGAAATTAAAAAGCTGCCATATATTGCGTGTTTCTGATTGGATTGAATATATATTTTTTAGATTTCGGATTTATATGTATTATATCATCGTTTGTCTTTCTGTTCGTCTGATCGTCTTTTTTGTTGCATTTTTGAAACATTTTAAATTTGTGCTCCTTTTCTGTTTCCAAATGACTAAAATTTGTTTGATTAATATTAAAATTACTTCCTTCTACTATTCATTATCAGTAATTATCATTATCATCAAGAAGTGAAGACATAAAAATTAGCCTTATGCTAATTTCGAACAATTCTTAGATGCTGCTTCTTTTTAAAGTAATTTCATTAATTTTTATAATGGAAAATTTTGCTGATGATGACTACTGGGAAACGGTGCCAGGAGGTAACGGCACATGGAGGACGAGTCAGTGTGGTGGCGGTATCAACAGAACTACATCAGCTATCATTTTTGATTTCAAAATTGCCTTTCAGTATCTGCTCAGTTGGGGACTGTTGCTGTCAATTTTTCAGCAAAATGTTATTTATATCCTGCCCGTTTTAAATTTTGTTTTCAAATATGGTCTTGTTGAAAACAAAGAAATTTATCAGAGGCGAGCAATGAAAAAAAAGGGAGTGAGGCGGTAGTAGTTCGGAATGGTATGTTATAGTGTATCAGTAACATGTTTTCACTAAAAGTTTTTTTCATTTTAAAAATGATTTTAAAAACCAATTTTTATCATAAAAGATTGTTGTAAATGGCTAGTAATTTTTTTTACTGACACGATGATAATAATACTAACAATAATTATCATAATTAGCATTGCGAGAAAATTATTCCTTCCCATATAACCTTTACCTGTCTCAATAATATTGTATAGCTTAATAAACCAGTAAAATTTGCATATTAACTATTAAATAGTTAATATTTGTTAAGGGACTGTTATTAAGCTTATTTACTATTTGCTTAAAGAATTTGTTATTTCACATTCATACTTTCTATTTATTCAATTTTTGCAACATTTTTAAAATACACCAATATTATTGACAAATCAATAACCATTTCATTAATATTATTCATAAATCTCTTCCAGATACAGTCTATTACAAATATGATCGTTTGAACAATAAGCATTTTTATACAAACTCGAATTCTCTCCGTTATGAAGAATAGTTACTGTTAAAGTTTAATTTCTACTATTTTTGCTGGCAATAAATCATTTTCAGGATAATTTTAAGCTGAATAAGTGAATGAGTTGAAAATAATTTAATGAAAATTCAATAGACTATATCTGTCAATAATGTCATATTGCTTGAATTGATAATAAATAAAATATTATAAAATTAATTTCAATGGAAAACTAATTCTATGATTATTCCTAATTCAGTAAAAAACAAGAAAAATTAGGGGAAAAAGTTTAAATTGAAATTAAAGGTAGTCATGTGAGAGGCATTCAAACATTGCATCATTAACTAAGTTGCCGTTTTCGTACTATACATCCATATTTGTTCTTTAAAAACAACATAAACGAGTTGCAGATTCCTGCAGGGAAGCAATAAAGAATATACGACAGCGATCGACAATTAGCTAGCTGTTCAAATTAACCTTAAAATATAGTGGAATGATAGATAGGCTTCATTGACAACCGACTGTCTTTAAAACGTGTTTTGATGAAGAATCAAAAAATTTAACAAGTTTGAAAGTGGATAATTACTGTTTATTTTGTTCATTGTGGTTGTTTTTTTGAAGAAATTTTTGAGAGACGGGATGGAAGGCGAAGAATTAATTCGATAAAATATTATATAAATTAATAAATAAATAAATATATATATATATTATAATTAGGCAAAAAAAATAATAATAAAATAATTAGGTAATAAAGCTAAATGAATTCTGATAATTTCAACATTCTCAATGAATGTATCAGTTAATCAAGTGTAGATAACAAGATTTTATGTATGTTAGTGTAGTTTTAGATCAAATTTCAAAATCTTCCTCAAGACACGTGAATATTTATATCCGAATTCATTTTATTTGCTTGAAGAAGTTCTTGAAATTTTAATTGTTTAAAATGATTCGATCGATAAAGATTCAAATGTTAAATATCGCAGTTTTATTTGTTCTATCATTCAAAGTAATGTGATAGTATCTTGAAATATTACTTGTAACTTGTTGAAGTAGAAAACTTATACAGTCTTTGAGATATTATTTATTTGCTCCTTTAATGACAATTTAATTTATAACTTTGAAGAAATGAATGCTAACAGTAGCAGTTGATTTGATGTTTTCTGAAATATTTATAAAAATATAATTTTCAATTTCATTTTATCATTTCATAAAATTAATATAAGAGATAATTGAATCAAAAAAAATGCAAGCATATAGGCAGTTCATTATTACGTTCCCTAATTATCCAATTATCAAATCAAATTTGATTTTAATTTGAAAAACAATTTCCCTCTAACTGATAAAATGAAATTTGACTGATTGCTTATTAAAGCATTGAAGCTTACATTACTTTTATTAATGTTATAAGCAATTAAGTAAAGTTTTTGTATTTTTATTTATTGTTTTTTCCTATGCTCACTTTTTTCCACAACTAAAATACTAGCAAATAAAATAGAATTAAACACTGTGTTCGTATCACTCTGAACCATCCTCCACTAGTCATTTTTTTACTACCAATTAAGGATAGGTATTAGAAAAAACGTTCCTTAAAATATGGCCTTGACAAATCACAACCGGCAAGAAGCGCAAAGCCATAATTTCATCTGATAATAATTCATAATAGCAATTTATATTCCTTTTCCAAAAGCTTTCTCAGATTGTTTTATTTGTTCAAATGATAGATTCTTGAATAGTGCTTAATACAAGTCGACTATTTTTGAAAAAAATGCTCTCTTACCATTTTTTAAAAGATTTTTATCAAACATGAGTCAAATAATCAATTACTTTGATTACACTGATTTATGCTTGATAGATACTCCTAAAAGTTTGCCTTCTTAAATGAAGATCAAAGAAAGCAATAAATTGTAATATTGGCAGATCAATCTTTAACAAATTATCATTATTCTTTATATCATTAAAATTATAAAGTAATTTCAGAATTTGATATCGACCAATCCTGTGCATTCTACAACATACAATATTATGGAATCAAAACACTCCGTAAAATGTTCATTTTGATTAACAGTTTACTTGATAGTGCGATGATATATTTTAAAGTTTTGCATGCATGCAAAAAAAGCAATAAATATATAATGAATTTTTGGTATTATATTTGCAAGAATTCTATTGGAAACTGTCAAATAATATTTATGTTCTCATTCTTCTTTCATTTCCCTCTACTTATATCATCAAATTTAATTTTTAGTTGAAAATAATAATGATTTATTGTTTAAAAATTTTTCTGAAAAGTTTATTACTAATTCGGTTAAATGAGATATTATAATAAAGCAAAAGTTTAATAACTATAATTAGAGCTATTAATAAATTTAACTTAAAATAATTTAGAAAAATTGATATATTTGAGAGGTAGAAATAATGAATGGAATTTCAAACAACTATTTTCTATTAAATTTGATAATTTACTCGAATAAACTTAAAATGTATTTATATCAATAATATGGAAATGTTTAAATTTAACAATTATGATTATTATGTACTACAACTATACTTATCATTTGTGTTAACACATCGAATACTGTACTTAGTACCACAGAGCAGGGAAAATGAAATGGAAAGGAAGGTGGTCGAAAACACAGGCTATGATTTTTGTGACGTAAAAGTGTCTTGCTGATGTTCCTGCTGGTGCTAGTGCTCATGTTGGTACTGGTGATATCGATAAACTGGGCGGGGTAGGGAGGAGCGGGGTGCGGTGAGATAGGGTGGGGCAGGGTTCATCATCCATTCACTCTATAAAACTACTCAACTCGTGCTCATAGTGCTTTCAAAACCATTTCCTACGATGACAGTCAGAAATATAAGCCGACCTTTTGTTTTCTTTTAGTACTTAACTAACTTTATCAGATTTACTCACTCAATGTTTCTTATTTTTATTACTCGATAATCTCCAATCTATCAATTATATTCATTTTAAAATTAGTTGCTTTAATATAAATTAATTAATTTATATTAAATCAATTTAAACAGATACAGTTAAATTACACTGTATTGGGAAAAAGTATTATGAATGAATAAAAAGTTATTAAGGCTAAAAATTTATGACATTCTTTTCAAAAATATAAAAGTTTTTTCTCCGGAATCAACTATACTTTAATAGAATTATCTCTATCGTTATTCAAAATATATTAACTATTACATAATCAATTTCTTGCCCATCTCATTTTTCAAATTCCTCAATTAGTAATGACAGAAAAAACTGGAATCTACCTTCTATATCTTATCTTTCTGTATTAGCTTACCTTGCAAATGTAAATTAGTATAACAACAACAGAATTCATTTATAAATTTACAAAAAAATTATGAAATGACCATTTCATTATCTTAACAATTATTGTTTCATGAATCACATATACAATTTCTTTTATTGGTTTAGCTAATTTATTATATCTTATCATATTTTAATTTAAAATATCCATTAATATGTTTTATTTCTGAAAGTGACCATTTTTTGTTTACATTGAAAATTTTTTATCGAACAAACTTCAATAAAAATAATAATAATTTAATAAAAATTATAATTATAATGAAATAATAATTTAATAAATTAATAATAAATAATAATAAGAATAAATGGCGATAATACTAAATAATAATAATTTATTATTATTATAATTAGTACAACTTTCATAATCATATAATCAAAATTTGATTGATATTTTTATGCATTAATATTAAAATATTTCAGCTGGCATTTATTCACTATATGTCATCGCATCCTTTTTTTGTCTAAATATTTTCGTAATTATTTGATATATATTAAAGATGAAGATGATCGATGTGTTGTTGCTGTGGGTGGTATGTGTCACCTTATCATTTGGTGTTAGGGATGAGTGCATGGAACGTTATAAAATATGTTCAGTGAAAGATCGCTTCACAATGCAACGAATATGTCGAAAAAGTGGTGGATTATTGAAACATACATTGAAATATGCAGGAAAAGGTTTGCTTAAAAAATAATAATTTGATTTTAAAGTTTATGCTTTAAAAATGTTGATACTGGGTAGGTTATAGCACGAATAATATATTACACATAAAATAGCTATTGGATGTATTAGAAGACAGAAGAAATTTTTGCGCTAATTGTTCATCTTTTAACTTTACCACGACTCATTCAAATTAATTTAATCCATTTCTTTTCAAGCTTAATGAAATGTTTAGTTATTCCTTAGAAAGTGAGAAATAAAATACAAATTTAGCTGTGTAGAATTAAAGTATTAATTATAGTAAGCATAAATTAGAAATAAAATCTTTAATTAATTTTGATGGACAAAAAATTTATTATTCATAAAAATTTTAAAATTATTCTACTTCATATTAAAGAAAGAACTATTTGCAAAATTTTTAATATTCCTTTTTTATATGTTAATTACTTTCATGGAAAAAATTTTTTTTACAAATATTGATTATATTATCTTCCTTATTGTTTTCTTTTTAGAGATAATTTCGGATTGCTGTCGGGGAAATGGCTGTACCAAACAATACTTATGCGATTTTTGTCAAAATTCATGTTGTCAGATAGCGATTGATATGGTGATAATGGATTAATTAACCATTCTTATAACAATGGTCTTCATCGTGCAACACGTATTTGCTCAAAGGAATAAAATTCATCAGTAATTGGTTGCATCACTCACTAATTAACAATTGGAGAATCATTTTAATGAATAGACCATCGTATTGTGCTGAAAAGTATTTGCTTTTCAGCAAATATTTTTTACGGAATACTGTATCACAATGCATAGCATTCACTGTATTTAATGCCAAAAAAAGACCTTACGGTATCATGTCTGTTATTTGATAACTTAACTTGCACTGATAACTCCTATATTGTAGTGCAAGCGACATAGTTTTATTTTGTTAGTGAAGTGTAATATTGTATGTAGCGCATTAATGATTTTGATGAATGTTATTTAATATGTCATTAATAATAATGTTTAGGATAATGCTAATGTTATCGGTTAAATGCTGCATTTTCTTCACGTAAGTAATTTAAGTACATGAGTACCTGCATGACCTTGAATGAGTAATTCACTCATCTTTTTATTAATTCTTTTGTCTTTTGAATACTATTTGTTATTGTATGGTATTAAATTCAGTCTTCTCATTTATTACTTGGTCTCATTAATTCTAAAAAGTAGGAGAACAAAATATGGGATGCGTGGATAGGCAAGCTTCAAGTTCTGGGATAAGTGTTACTCACTGGATAAGTAATTTGAAAGTAATTGTTATCTCAACTTTATTCTAGTCAATATTAACTGTTACTTTACCGCTATTATCGTCATATCATGTTATTCTCTTTCTCTCCCTCTCTCCATACATATTATATATGTATTGTCAGTGTGTTAATCTCTGTCATATTAATTCCATTACTGTGAACGATACTTATGCTCTCTTTACATACTGTTAATTGTTACCGTAACATCCATTAAGCTTTACATACCTTTTGAGCTTTCTGTGTCAATAGATCATCGATGGACATTGGTTATTAAATAGTATTA